ATGAACATTACAAAGACTATGTAAGACTTCAGTACAAGCAAGATAATATAAACTGTTGCTTAAATTATATTTATTGCTTCATACACACAATGTACATACAATGTATCTTTTATTTTTTAACAGGAGCTAAAAGAAAAGCCACAAAGGACAAGTTCAATATGCAGGTTTACAATTTGGAAGTGGCACAGGTTCTTATGAATGTCTACAACCTTTCGGGAGAATTTTTTTTTGAAGTAAGATTTTCATACAGAATTACTGTTATTCCATATTTAATTCAAATATTTAGCATAAACAATGCATTACATTCAAGATTAAGGGCATACAATACAGAAAAGATATCTGGATATTTGAATAAATTATTTTTTTTGTGACAAAATAGAAACAAGTTGTTTATTTAAATCAATCTTTTAGTCCAACAGTGTGCTTTCATAAACAACATATTTGCTTTCCTTTGAAGTATTTCAAATACATATAAACAACTCATTTAATGACATATGTGTGTTTCTCGGAAGTTAAGTTATATTATTATCATCATTGCGAAAACAATGCGTAACACTTCGATAAGTTATTATGTGCCTATAGTATACTTCTAGGACTGTATCATATGCCCTTAGATACAAATGACAAGTTATAAACTACATGTATGTCACTCTACAGAGTTTAACACTTAAAAAGGACAATAAGATGTTTAATGACATTATGTAGCAGGGCTTTTAAAGGCACCTATATGATACAATGCATTTAATGAAAACTAAAAAAAACCAAGAAAAACAACAGCCTGATTTATAAAAAACAATAAAAGAAAAAAAATATGATAGACAACAATCAACGAGTATAATGAAATAAGACTCTTGACTGGACACATATTTAGTCTAAAGTTTTTTATGTGTTTTTTTTTAATAACTAAATGAAGTTCAGCGTGGCATATTGCTCTCTCTTAACACGGTCAGCCATTTATCGTCCCCTTCCGACAGACTATCATCGTTATTTGTTTCAAAACTTTAAAGGGGAGGGGATGTATATCCTTCAGGCAACGTGAATCCTTCTATAATAAAGGAATGTGCAAGAAGTTTATATGTGAATGTAAGATTAATTTTTTTTTCAGAAGCATGGCACAGCAAGAAAAAGATATAAGACACTACAAGACATTCCAAGTGACTTTGAATAAGACAATTGATTGACTTTTTCAATGTATTCTTAAATAAACCAAATAGTTGATGTAAAATGGTGTTTTGTTCTCATCTCTTCAGCCAATTATCAATGATTATTGACTTAAGATGTAACCCTATTAGAAGTGAAGTTTTGAGTTGTGTCTGCCATTTTGGATGTGTCAAAATTTGTAGATACTTCTTGTTTTTAGAGACTTTGAATTGTGAATTTCATATGCTTAGCAAAACAACTGATTTATTCTTGTTTGTATATAGAATTAATCACTAATGATTTGTTATTTAAAAAAGCAGGAAACTCAATCAAAAGTACAGAAATTTTTATATTGATATGATCTAGATATCAACCAAAAACATCTTCTTAAAACATTTTGAAAACATTTTTTAGGCAGTCTCACTTGCAAGAAAACATCCAAAAACACATTTTTATAACATTATTTGATGTTCATGATGTTTTTCAAACGTTCAGAAAATATTTCTAGAAAATATTTTTTAAAAGATTATCAAAATGTTTTATACGCCATTGTTTTTCACATTATCATGATATTTCTTTACAACATTTTAATTATATTATGCAAATATTTTAGAAAATATATTAGAAAACGTTTTAGCGATATATATTCTACCATACATTTAATGTTTTTCTCACGTTTTTTTGTGATATTTTCATGACATTAGACACAACATTTTAAAAACATTTTAAAGATGTTTTTGTGTTTGCTGGGGTTCTATCTCTATAGTTAATAAAACAAAACATCATACTAAAATCTTAAACAAAAACTACTGAGTGTAAAATAAAATCATATTATGTCTAAAAATAACTTATGTAACATAATACTTATTAGTTCCTACTAATGAATTCTTTTTTTCTCGGCTACAATACGTTGTTATTGTTTAGTATCTCTAAGACTCGGCTTACTTGTGACGTCGTTTACTGTAGTATTGTTTAATGTATGGTTGTTCTGCTGATGTTTAAATTTTCAGTAACATCCATTACACTACCGGTTTCACAATCGATCATCGTGGATAATGAGAGTATTTTTTACAGCATGTTTTAAAAGGCGATATTTGACTGCTCCTAAGTAACGTTGATTGATTAGTTGTACCTGGTCTAGTGTGTTCTTAAAAATTATCATGACTTTATTTTCTTTTATTAGTCTTTCTGGTTTTAGCTTATACTTGAATACATCTATAAATCGTAAAAATATAAGAGTTTTGAATTTTGTGTGAATGAATAGTATGGCATGGTGTGTAAATATAGTTACACATCTGTGCAGAGACTGAATATAATTGATCCCATCATAAATTCGATCTAGGGAATTAACTGAATTCGAGTTTTTTTCTATTAAAAGTTCAGCATTATCACACAAAGACATCTACAGACTTTTGATTTTATATGGGTGAATTATGACAAATTTCTTAATTCATCGTGACGAATTGAATGTAAAGTTAAAAAAACTCGACTACTAGTATATGGTGGCTGGAATAAAACGATCATATTGACAATAAATATATAAAGATAATGCTCTAAAACTTTGGAGCGCAAAAAGCGCTCGTCTGAGTATCCTTTGTCAGAAACGCTCAAAAACAAAATTTCGAAAGACAAGGAATATTTCGACATTTTTACCTTTTATGTCTGTTTGCTTTATTCACGTATCGTTGTCAACATAATGGAATTTGATGCGACTGTCATACAAGTGAGATGTTTAGCGCTATAAAACCAGGTTCAATCCACCATTTTCTACATAAGAAAATGCCTGTACAAAGTCAGGAATATGACAGTAGTTGTCCATTCGTTTGATGTGTTTGTTCTTTTGATTTTGCCATTTGATTAGGGACTTTCCGTTTTGAATTTTCCTCGGAGTTCAGTATTTTTGTGATTTGACCTTTTACTACCATATATCACAAATGAATAATGAAAATCCGGATATGCGTTAGGGAGTTAACACCATAGTTTCTTAATAAATTCTTGAATGATTATGGATTATTTGGCAAAGGGATGCTATAAATAATGTCAGTACAACTGAGCTGATGGTACTACCAATCAACCAGCAGCAGTATCGACCAAGTACTAGAATATAAAAAAATACAGTTTATAAATTTGATGCGTCTTTTATCAGTAACGTTCAAACTACAAACTTTAAAGGAATCCAATAGATCAATTTTGATATAGAAATTTTAAGCTTTTATCAATATTAGCATAACACATGCGTTGTATTGGTTCCTCGTTGAATGATACGGCAAAAAATGAAAATAGAATTTAAAAACAATCCTTTTTTTTTTTAAACATATTATACTTTATTTCATTAAAGCTTTTTATAAATCTTTTAAGGATACAGCTTTTTCAATGCTCCTTCTTAAAACAATACTACAATATGATTAGTTAACTTTTACACACCCTCTTTGTTTCATTTTGAAACTAATTTACGTTTATGATATAGCTGGGATACCAATATACCCATAAAACCATAAATATATAACAGACACCGTGGATGACCAACGCTAACGGTTAACTTTCGATGGCAGATTCACAATCTGATTTAAATAATGATCCAGTGTTCGCGCTTTGCTTGCAAGGATATATGAGTTTACATTATTTTGAACCCGTCCCTTCAAAAAGACAAAGACGTAAAGGGTTTATCAATCTGTTTTTAATCGCATGAAATTTTATGATTTCTGACACAAATCCATAATAACATTTTTTTTGTCCTTATCTGAATAGCTTTTTCTAAACACGGCAAAAAGGTTCAATATTGTAAATTGGAAATATGTTATAGGTACATATCGTTTTTCTTTAATAATAACTTTTTTGTATTTGTATCATTCTGCCATTGTAGTTTAAGAAAATTCATTGTGTTTATATTGATATTTCATACGGCATTCATTATCTTTTAAGAGTACAATAGTAAAATGATCGGAATATGAATATGCAGTCTTCACATATTTGGAGCATACACAATCCCTAATGCGTTGATAATAGAAAAAAAAACACATATTATTCTTCCTCTATACATTTTTAGTTATAAATCAAGGCAAGAGAAGTTTACGATGTTACTATCTCGCAAGTTCGTCACTATATAGATCAATGTTGGTAAAGAATGCGCTTAAAATCGTGGATGTTCATTAAATCATCATCAGTTCGAAACTAATCAGACGACATTTCTTAGAAAAAGCGATGCTGTTTAAATTGAAATATGGACTTTAAATCAATGAGACCCAACCAGATCGAAAAATTAATTTAGAACAATTCACGAAAACACTAAAAGTATATCAAGGTTAAGAAATAAAAACAAACAAACATTTTGCTTAAACACTATCTTGTAGTTGGCAATAAAGCAAGATTAAAAATAATAATCGTAAAATATAACCGGGTTTGTCTAAGTTTAATTCAAACAGTACCATTGTTGAAATGTTCAACATGCCGAAAAAACTAGCTCATGTATCTTATTCCTTATTATAAATGGTCCGTCTATAATTGTTCTGTAAAGTAAAACTAATGTTTTTGCTTTTCAGCCAAAAGCTTAAGGTGTGTGCAAAACCTTTCAACATCTAGGAAAAATAAAAAAATATTTAAGCTTCCATATATCAACAATATTTTGTGGGTTCTTGAATTTCTGGACTGTATTTGATTGAATGAGAAATAATAACTCCATAATATGAATTAGGGACTAAGTTCGAAAAAAAAGCGCCTCAGAAGTACATGAAGTAGATATTCAGGGGAATTATTGTTTACTTCATCAATGTTTGTCATTGGTTTTAAACAACCTTCCTAATTTGCTAAATAAGAAAATTCCTCGGTAGGATTCATGATTAAAAACTTATAATAATACATACGTTGTCGTTGTCTTAGAATCCTTTGATAAACTTTTAAGGATATCTTGAGCTGTCCTGAAAGAAAATGCAGTATGTTTACATTTCTAAAATACGAAAATATTTTGTAATTCCGTAAAAATATGAGTTTTGCATAAAGTGTGTGCAAGAATTGCGTGGATTTCAATAAACAACACATTATCAAGTTAGATATGATGGTCTAACATCAAATAATGTAAATATCGTACACCCAGATGAAATGTATCATAAAGAAATCTTGCAAGTCTCTTAGGCTTAACAAAGAATGCAAAGTTTAATATATATGTCGTTTAGTCTCTGGTAGAGATTTATACCATTGGCAATTATACCACATCTTCTTATCTTTATAAACACTGTATTTTAAGATAAATGCAAAAATGAAGTATTCATGACCGAAATAACAACCTACATTTCTCTTTCTGTTAAATCCTCATCCGAATCAAACATACCAGTTTCGTCCATTTGTAATCGGTAATCGTTTTTTAATCTAAAATAAAGATACAAGTAAAAGTTTATTTAATCTCATTGTAAAATATCAGTAGCTTTATATTGATTCAGTGCATATGGTCTTTACAAAGTGTCCAGGGATAAAACGTATAAGAGGAAACATGACAATGCACATTAAAAATAGTGCAAATAATATGAACTACCTTCTTAAGATTCTGTCGTGGTTATCGATTCATTTTTTGTATTTCTTTAAAATCAGAATTAAAATTATCATACTTTTGTGTTAAAGACTGTAGAGACTTTGCTTTTCCTGTGCATTCATACACAGTTTCTGCGTAGTCTTTTGATATCTGTTGCTGCTGTTGGTTGGTCTCTCTGCGCATACGTTTCAGCATCTTCGATCGAATCTTCATCTCTTCTTTTGAATAACTTAAATCACACAGTGATTTAGACCTAAAACGTAAAATTATAAAAAGTACAGCTGGCATTACTATACTGAAAATTTAATTATTTTGGAGGGGATTATGTCCTGTGGTTTAGATAAAAAAAATATATATGTATAGGTCCTCATTGCCTTCAACTTCGTACTCTCTTTGGCCTATTTTACTTTTTATTCGAGCGTCACTGATGAGTTTTATTTTAGATCACACGTGCGTCTGGCGTACATAATTTTATTGCTGGTATCTATGATGAGATTATTAGAACGCTTGAATTCATGGTGTCCGTTATTCCCTCCATTATCAATATGTACATTAAACTTTTTTGTTTTTTATCCTATTATCAGACATTGTCTATGCCAAACACAAAGAATATTTGTACATCACAATGGTTCAATTATACTTCACAGAAACATGTTTCATGAATTTCGTCCATTTAATTTGATATTTTTATGTATTTAAGTATGCTTCTCTTCTTTCTTGTTTGATTAATACAATCGATAAGGTCTATCAACCACATTGGTTTATTATTTATATACCTCAATAATCTTAAGTATGTTCAATAAATATATGATAATTGCACAAATCAATGGAAAGACCCGAATATTTTTTTCATTTTATTATTTCTTCTTCTTTAAAGAGAAATAATAATTGACGTATTTGATCGTTTACGTTTGTTGATTAATTAGCAATTTAGTTCAGCTTATCATTTTGAGATACGTTTAGTTCCACGTCTAGACAGGGTAATCTATCTTATCAATAGAGCACTTTGTATATTACGAATTTGATATATTACATGTCAAATATTTGGACATTGTTTGTTTATGATTTTTCAAAACAATGTCAACAACAGCCATAACCACAAGAATAATAATAAAATAATAATAATAATAATAATAATAATAATAATAACAATAATGATAATAATGATAATAATAATAATAATAATAATAATAATAATAATCATAATAAAAATAATAATAATTATAAAAATGATAACTAGAGCTGTCCACATAATGGGACCTATACCCCCGTATATGCATTTTAATTGCTGCCTTGAAATTCAGTATTGAGACAATAACGTTTTCAAGTTTTTTATTTTCAGCCATTCATTTTGTATAATGATTACCTCTGTGTTAAATTGACACATGGGTACTGATAGGTTAATCTGAAAGAATTACACTGACACAGGAACCGAGTCTGAGGTTTGTACACTGCAAATGCAGAAATTAAAGGTCAAGTTCAAGGTCAGTGTGATGCTTCTGCATACAATGTGTTGTCAACCTAAGTGCTAGAGTACAATAGTATCATAGGGATCAAAAACCAAATTCAATGTCATCAATATGTCATAATTATTATAATAATTATAATAATAATAATATCATTTTTATTTTTGTGATTTTACTTTTTTCAGATAAACCTGACTTTGATATATGATACCTCATCCCATGATGTATCAGCATATCAAGTTTGGTCAACCTAAGTTCTATGTTACAAAAGTTATGCACAGGGCACACATCAGACAAGGTTTTACTATCATAGGGGTCAAGGCCAGAGTGACCGGACTTTGGTATATGACACTACCTCAGCTCTTGATGCAGCTACATTATAAGTTTGGTTAACCTTAGTTTTACGGTAAAAAAAATTTGAGCGGGACACGAATTGGACAACTATCATAGGTGTCAAAGATCAAAGTCAAGATCAAAGTAAACTGACTAGTACAAAGACATCCCTAGCCCATGATGCAACTGCATACCAAGTTTTGTTAATCTAAGTTTTATGGTACAAAAGTTATGCACCGGACACGAAGCGGGACGGACGGACAGACAGACGGACGGACGGACAGACAAATCGATAGACAGACAGACTTACATGGGGATTCCTATTTACCCCAAACTTTGTTTGCAGGGGATAATAATAATTATAATAATAATAATAAATGATAATGATACCTTCAGAATTAAAAACATTTTGTAGAATTGAAATATTCAGTTTGTCAACAAAATGCTTTAATAAACTAGGACAACTGTGTCCATGGTCGTTTTACTGAATTACGTGGTAACGGCAACAATAACAACCTTTAAACAAAGATATCTAGCGTGCATAGGACAAGGATTACACAGGAAATGTTAACCAAATAAGTATAACAATTTATGCGAGATAAACCCATTTTGATTATTTTGTTAGAATCCCTCTCGTATAAAATTATCAATGTCTTATGCAATTATCATATAGGTTAACAAGATCTTACTGTTTTATGTAAAGTAAAAGGTATTCAGATTTTATCTGATACAAAACGTTTAGAAATTCCATATGAATTCTTATCAGAAGAAACTCAACAATGTTAAAGCTGTGGTTTTGCAATAAAGAAATTTAAAGTTTTTTTTTTATGTTTTTTCAATATGTTAAGCGACCAACATGTTCCTGCTTACCTGCTTAATGTTTTGTGTGCTTGATCTATCAAGACGTGTTTGTCTATTAATTCTTTCCTTAGTTCGTCGTTTTCCGTTTGTAACGCCGTGACTGTCTTGTTTACTGTTATCCTGTAATTTAGATTTGCCATTCATTTTATATCTTTAAAACCGTTCACCTTTCAAATATTTTATATTACTTGATTGATTTGTTGGTGTTTTAACGCCCCTTTCAGCACTATTGGCTATTCTGTGGCTGCCACTTTTTATTGATGGATGAAGCCGGAGTGCCCGGAGAGAATCATCGACCATCGGCAGGAAAACTGACAAAACTTGTCAATTAAGATTGGAGTCGAACGCACCTGCCACGTGCAGGATTCGAATCCACACCATCAGTGTTGACAATCTAGTGATACAATGATAGAACTACTAAGATCACTGGGACTCCGAGCTCCAAATACTTTATATGCTGTTCCTTAAATGCATGCAATTTTACTTACATTTTAGTTCTAATAAGATAATAAGACGGATAATATATTTATATTCCTAATTTTGGGAAATTTTTTTTTCAATGTATTCATATGCATTTGTTCCTAATAATGTTCTCTTTTTATATAGAAAAGGATCTTCAAATACTCTAATAATTTTTTTACACTATCATTGTGATCATTAATCATAAACTCAAAGTCATGACTTTTCGAAAATTGCTCAAAAAGTTTTCTTTATCAATAATTCTAGTTTTGAACAATTCAGAAGACTGATTGAACCAAAACTGTAGAACATGCTATTATCAATCTGCTGATAAACATGTTTTGTCAATAACCTCTCGTTTTCTTTGATCAAGGTCTGCAGCTCTGTGTCCAACCTAAGGTTTTCATTGATTTTTTCGTCAACTGTAGCATTCAGCATTTCATTTTCCTTTTTTAATTCATCGACTGTTATGTGCAAGTCTTGAATCTCTTGTTTCATTTGGTGTATCCTGTAAAAAGTAAAATGACAAAATATCGAACTGCAATGAAAATTCAAAACGGAAAGTCCCTAAACATATGGCAAAATCAAAAGCTTAAACACATCAAACGAATGGAAAACATTTGTAACATTTAATTTAAATGAAATTAACATTTGAAGTACAATAATTTCAACACAACCGTTGAATTTGTTATATATTATGTACCCACAAGAAATTACAATTCTAACAGAATAAGTCAGTACATAACGCCTGTAGTCTTTGTTGTTGAATGTTGAACAATCCTGAGTGTTAATATAGTAGTCTTTACTGTTTTGGTCCTATTCTGGTTTTGGTTCTATTCACGACATTGCCGTACCAGTGGGAGAAAGAATAAGAAATTACATTTAATTTCAATATCAATTTGTAGAAACAACATTATGATAGAGAAATGTTAGTGATGATGAACATTTTCGTTGTCAAAGATATATCTACTAAGATTGCTGCAGTCATAATATGTTGCGGACTGCATTGCGATTACTACCATCTTTTATGCTTGTTTAGGTAGATTAACTAAAACTGAAGGATTCTACTGACTTTCTATAATTTTGACTTTTAAATGTTCACATAACACAAGATTTCGATTTCACCATGTTCGTCGCGTTTCTAAAAATAAGCGTCATTCCATACATTTGATTTTTAATGTTTGGAAACCAAACACTTAGATATTAAGTAATAGTCAGTCATGGTCGATATACATTTTCTTCAGGTTAAGGTCTTCTGCCTATTTTATTTTTGTATTTCGAGAACAATTCTATTTTTTTTTCAGCCGTAAAACATATTTCAAAAGAAAACCATTACTATATATAAAGATTGTTTTGTTTTCTAATAGAAACTCGAACATATAATGAAAATTTATTTATAAACCTTTTCCCCTAGTCTTGATTATTCTTTACTGCTTTCAACACTGTCAAATTAGTTATGCTATATAATGTAGTAGACCATTTATAAGAAGAAATGAATTTGGAAAGGATAATCAACGATCAATGTTTCGAAAACACAACTCTTATAAACCATTCTTACTTTACAAATATGCAATATTGTGTTTATCAATATTTTACAGAAAATCAATGTTATTATGTAGTAGAGAATTGATAAGAAGTAGTGGATTCGTAAAGGATAATCAACGAGCGACTTTAGTCGCAAGTTGATTATCGTTTCCGAATCCACTACTTCTTAT